CATACTGTAGCACCTGAAAAGAGCACCTGGGCATCGGCACACTTGCGGGAACATGAGGAAGTAGTCTCTTCTTTTCCCCCTAGCAAAGTTTTTCAGTGAGTGACACTTCCACTCCACTGGGACCAGCAGTAGCTCCGAAAAATCCCGAGTCCCCGCAATTTCGCTGGCTAAGCTAAAAAGTCTCCTGTCATAAATTGGCGGTGGAGTCGGTTTTGGATGCGGTTCCTATACGGCAGACGGGCGGGATAACATTGTCCTCATTCTCTCACGCTGTAAAGTACAATGACAGTCATTAGTTTGGGGGTTTATTGACGAGTCCCTTTGCTCTGTCAAGGTGACAGCGGCAGGTAGAACAGCTGTGACTCCATAAAAGCCCCATCACCCGAGCTCTGCTCCTCATTATTTAGGTCATTCTCTCATCCGAAGCTTTTTTCTCGATTTTATTTTGGTGCGGCAATGAAAATTGTCTGTCGGTGATTCTGACCCGCAGCTCCAGCCTTAATCTTTTTGTGCGTAAATGCCGATCAGACATGAGCTTCTTCCTCCCGGTTACGGGGGGGCTGTGACTGACTCTGTCGCACGCATACAAACAGATAAGTCCCCCCCCCCTGCATCCCGGTGGTGATATGGAAAATATTCCTGGTGGGTAAAAGGCTTCAGTTTCATCAAGACTTCGCCTCCGGTCCTCTCTGCTCTTACCTCCACTCTCACGCAAGCAGCAAATGTCACCAGGAGCCCCTTTTTTTTTTCTTCTTTTTTTTATTTATTTACCAGTTATCATCTCAAAGCTCGGCAGGATGCTGTGTGTGTGTACCTGTGTGTCTGTGTGTGTGTGCGCTCGTGAGTCTGCAGCATGTAATATTAATGGGCGAGTAAGGGAACAGAGTCTGTGCGAGCGTGAGCGTGAGCGTGCACGTGTTGATCAGGAGTTTTGCGGCGTACCTGCGGCGGGGGGAGTTCTGCAGCTGTCACACTCTGTGCTGGTGAGGAGGAGCAGGCCCCGGTCCCAGAACACAGAGGCTCTAGCTCCCTGACAGCTGGAAGTGAATCTCCTGCTGGTGCTCTCCTGCTCTGAAGTGCCTCCTCCAAACTTCTCCGACTTGGCTCCGCTCGCACTGTGCGATAAACACCGCTCTCATCTTACAGCTCAGATGCGTTCTCTCAAGCAACCTGTGGCTGAATCCGAGTGGGGGGCCCAGTTTTTCCCCAGTGCTGATCGTCTTTGAGAGGATTTTTTAAAATGGTCTTAAATCAGGGGTCTTTTTTTTTCGTCTTTTCAAATATTCCCAAAATTATTTGGATTATTCTGTGAACTGAAACCTGAAACCATTGATGATGTTTGTAATTTAAAGGAATACTTCCTCATTCTATGATATATCAGATAATCAGATCAGGTTAGACTTGTGTAATATGCATAGTGAACATAAAAGAAGAAAATATGCAGTATATGTTCATCTCCAGTTTTGGTTTCTAGATAAATATCTCTCAATATCTCTCACATAGTCATGTACCATTTCTTCTTGCATACGAGGAATCAAAATATCACTGGTTTTGTAAAGTGTGACCAGTGCTTTTTCACTATCTTTCCTCTTGGACTCAATAATGAGTTCTTTGTGAGAATGTAGTTATATGTGGTTTTTGCTTTGAGTTTTTTCCCCTCATTATTGTTTGGATAAAAAAAAAAATCCTTTGTTGTGGTTATGAAAAGATCACTGTCTGCCATAGAGCACATCTTTCAAAGACCTTGCCTGTTCCCCATAAAGCGTCATTCTGTTTTTCAAGTAGAAGATGTACTATTAGATCTTTCATCAGAGAAATGTTCAGCGTATGCTCAGCGATTGCCTTCTGCAACAATAAACGGGAACGTGGGACTTTCATGGTTGCACAGGTTGTTTAGAAGTTTCTAAATCAGAACACCATGACGTCATTGGTTTGTATTTAACTGCCTCACCTGTATGAACATAGTCGAAGTATTGCTAGTGTTCAAAATCTCCTTCCTCTTGTATCTAACACTCATCTTGAGCCATACTCACTTCCTCATGGGTGTCATCAGGGTCACTTCTGCCCACCAACATTTCCATATCAATTGTCTGTCTCTGCATGCATAAAGGAACATAAATTGGCTGGCTGCAACTTGGCTGGCTCTCTCCATTGGTCGAGTTTCCATATAATGCCAAGTTTAATTGTGTTGCTGAAGTCCTACACACCAGCTGTCCTGCCTCTCAGTCTTTTCTCTCAAACTTCTCGACAGTGTGTATCCTCCCTCAGGGACGAGTGTAGGAGGCAGCAGAGTGGGTGGTTCAATCAGGTTGGGTAGTTATCTGAGAGACTAGAAGTGATTGGTTTGGCAACTGAGGTCCTACAGTTAAAAACAAGCCATGCCACCACATGCAAAGCAGAAGGACTGAGCGAATACAAATGGAAGTCACTGAGTATACTTGTTCCAGATTCTCAGATACCCGTTTGGTGTGAAAAAAAAGAAATCAGAAGTTTGTTTCTTGATTCAAAAACAAAAAACATTAATCTTTCCTTAATGTCGCTTTCCAATTGAAGAGACGTACCTGGGCCGGGGAAATGGTCGGAATTAAAGTGTGATCATTGTTTAATATCTCACTTCCTGAATTTTTCGCCGGCGTGTTTTAGAAATCAAACTTGACAAACTTGGGGTCTGCTCAGTTTTTTAGAATACAGATCAAACACAGCTTGATCAATCCGAGAATAAAATGATGATGGCACTTTGAAGTCCTGCAGGGATTTAAATCTGCCAGAAATACGAGCACGACTGTCAACTGGTGTCTAACATCAGCTGTATGGAAAAGATTAACAGACATAGCAGCTGTGACACGTGCCACTGGTTTCTGAAGCATTGTGTTTCAGTAATCCCATTTCAGAAGATACCATGATCTCAAAGCTATGCTGCCTTTAATTATTCCTAATCTTAAAAGTCTGCATGGAGCAGAAATACATCTACATTCTGAACGGAGTCTCCAATTGAATGCAACTTTGTTTAAAATCATGAGAACACAAGAAATAGTCTCTGTTTTAAAATTCCTTGAGCTAATCTGAAGCATAGATAACTGCTAAGGTGGGAAATCACGAGTGTACTCTGCAGATATAAAATGGTTCTATTGTCTTTTGCCGAATTAATACAACCAGTGGGCTCATTTAAATGGTACTAGAATTTATTAGTATTATTGCATGTAAACATCTCAGTCTCAGACAAATACACCCTGTTTTAAAACAAATAATGCAGACACGCACAAACCAACACTATTTTTGTTTTTCATGGTGTGAGGTGTTTTTCTAATCGAGGATATAATAAAAATAGAAATATATATGTTATAACGAACATAATGCTATTTTATGACACTGAGCCCAGCTCAGAATGACAAAAACAGATTTTCATTACTTCCAGGATTTATAAAAAGCTAATAAAGAATTCTTTTAGCTCTCCCCACAATCCCAAAAGCATTCTTTGGCAGCACAATTTGTGTTGCAAAGTTTGTGGTAGCAGATCTCACGGCCACTTTCTTCTAAATGTGGGAGGGGGTTGCCTCCTGAAGGTCCTACAGCCTAATTTATGCCTGGTAAAGAGGGGGAAAAAACTTCTCTTCATCCATCCATCTATTTCCTGTAAAAACCTAATCCAATTCAAGGTCAGAAGGATGACCGTTCACTGGCCATCCGTCAATAGATGGAGACAAAGAAACTTCAACTGGAGACACCAGTTGACCCCGCATGCACCCCTTTGAATGGTGGATAGAAGTCCACAAAGAATACCCCCTGTCAGGAGTTCTCCAGAAGCCCCTTGCTGTGAGGCAGCAGTGCTAACCACTCCACCACCGAGCAGCGCTTACTTACAATCATAAGTGCCAGGTGAAAACTTGAAAGCAATTATTTTGAGTTTCCAGAGCATGACCTGAATTTTAACTGGTTTCGAGGGATTAAAGGTTCACGGATTTCCTTACTTCATAAATGACAAATAAAACACTGGTGTTCTGTGTGTGTGCGCCGTGTTGTGTCTGAGAGGCTGTCCCCGCGTACGCCTGCATAATTCGTTGTGTCTCCAGGTAATTTGGGCCCACACAGGAGAATGCGCTGTCGTGGAGATTTGCATTCTCTAATTAATTTGTCAGAAGTAATTTTTTTTTTTTCCACATGGTGCCTGATTAAAACTAACCAGATTAATAATTAATTTCAACCCACAATTATTGCTCGGCGAAGTTTTAAATATTAGAGACATTGAAAGGCCCCGCGCTCATTTATTTTGATTTCCACCAGACACGTTTGGGTCCGGTTCGGTGGAAAGGTTGGTGCCGGGCAGATGAGATGTGGTGGTAATTACTCTAAGCTTTGCCGTACACACACACACGTGCCGACACGGCCACTACCTTTTTTCGGTGTCATCTTTAAATTAGTCATTTATATTTCCTCTCTTGTCTCTTACATTTATGAGCTCTGTGCTGTAATCTCCTGCGTCGGCTGTTGTAGAAGTTGGTATAAATAAATCAGTCTTATTGCTCCGTGAGTGCTTCACCCTAAAATTACGTGTCAGGAGAGGTGGTTAGTGAACCGTCCTGTAGCTGTAAGACTATCACCCGACCAAACACAGTGAGTTAATATGAGTAAGATGACTGTAAGGGAAGCTTTGTTTGACATTATCTCACCAAAAACTGCATTAAAATCGGGTTAAATAGATGTACGATTGAATGTTCCATTGAGTGAATAGTTTCGACGGAATACCACGACTTAATATGCTCACACTGGTGAAAGAATTCACAAATGTAGGCATAGCCTTGCTCACATTGGGTATATATTCATGTGTTTGTGTCTGGAGCTGGAATTCGTCTCAAAGGAAGGGCCTCACCAATTCATTAATTAATGCACTTTCACAGTGTTGTTGGTGACACCTTGCCTCCATCTTTGTTGTCTGTTGAAGGTGTTTTATGAAGTGTGATTTTGTGGGTTAAAAGTCTCTAAATCCAGTATATTTAGTACGTCTGAATCCCTACTTTCCCTGTCTTTCGAAAGGCCCCATGCAGGAGACGGTGTTCGACTTCTGGAGGATGGTCTGGCAGGAGAACACGGCAGCTATCGTCATGGTGACCAACTTGGTAGAAGTCGGCAGGGTGGGTATTAATTACAATCGTTCAAACTTCAGACCTCCAATAAGATTACCTCAGTCCCAGTCGAGCGACAGCTTTATTGTATCTCCAGGAAATCCGAGTAGCTTTTTTTTCCTTTTTTTGTCGTCTTTAAAACATCATTGCCCAGATGTTTCAGCGTGTGTGTGTGAGCGTGCCGACTTAGTGAAGCGTGGGTCTCGAGTGCCACCAGCTCTCTTTCCATCTATCTGAGTGAAAAGAGCTGATTGATGGCCTTCATTACAAGGGAGGCATCCAGGCGACTGACTACTGTTTCATCTGAGTGGCTCTATAACACCAGATAAGAAGCCACCGGCTCCTCCCAGGCTCCTTTCAGCAGAAGCGGCCTCTTAATGTTGTCCTCGCTGGACAAAAGGTGACTTTTATTGGGTCGTAAGGAGAACTCATAATGTCCAAACTAATGGCAGAGCCTCGTGTTGTTTTTTTTATCACTACAAATGGGGGACCTATGTTGAACCTAGCCTTCGAATCTGCTCCGCTTCGCTTAAACTGTAGGTCCTTGCGGTTGGATTATAATCAATAGAAAAATGAAAGTCTACACATACAGTGTAGGGCTTTGACTTCCAGGGGGGTTTCTGGTATATTTTTAAGTATTTGCACTAAAAGCCGCTTAAACAGAGCACACCTTGATTTTTTGCTGATCTTCATTTTTGGGCTTCAATGTACCAGAGCTGATAATGATTCATGGGCCCATCTCCAGGTACCTCATTAAGCCCGTCTTCTACAGTAGCTGAGCCCATCCTACCCCACACCTTCTCCACACCTGCTTAGCTGCGGTGGCGTCCCCTACGGGCCCCCGGCCCCCCAAACCGTCTGTTATATGATCCTTGTCCAATGGCGGATGGAAGGCGCAGTTGGTCACAGAGACGCCGGCTCCACAGAGGGGCCCCATAAAATCATCCCGCCATATCGCAGCGAGCCATCTGCTCAGCGCAGTTGCTGATGAACTCTGGGAAATCCTGGCACTCACACAGACAAGCACACACAGCACCGGTCCCGCCGGTTTCGCACACAGGGGCGGCACTCGGCGCACTTTGATGTATGAGAGATTTGATTTTGGAAGTTGGCGTGCTGACGCGTGCGCCAGTCCTTTTCCATGCTCTCTACCCGTACGGGCGAACGAGTTCAAGAGCTGCGCGCACACTGTCGCACATGCCCGTCAGAGTGCCCCCACAAAAGAACATCTGTGTCTACGCTGGCGTATTTTGGCCCAAAGGCTAATTCCCTCCAAACCAGGCGTCTGATTCAGAGTGATCTAATAAGGTAATGGCTTTTGCCTAATTCAATCTAGCTGGAAGCGGACGGGGGATTTGTGATTGTCATCAGGGATTAGTCATCAGGGGTGTCAGAGAGAGAGACCTGAAAGTCCCCTTCTGTCTGTGTCATTCCACAAACCAAAATCTCATTTCATTGGTAATCAGCGCATAGATGCCAGAAACGAAAATTGAATCTACTTGTGGCTGATGTTGCATTTATCCCTCATCAAAAATGATCATTCTCTGATATACCTCCGTGATCTCAATCTCTATTACCAGCCGTACTCCCCTAGTATCAACAGTTTAATTGAACAGGGGGGAAGGGAAGGGAGGAGGAGGTGGGGGGGACTCTTATGATACCTAATACAAGTAATATTTCCACTGAGGTGCTTTAGATTTCTGTTGGGAAATCTGTTTTAAGCAGCTGAAGGTTTATTATTTCAAATCATTCCTGGATACTCATTATATTTTTCTCCTTCAGTTGCAGCACACTACTTTATTTTTTCTCTGTTTTCTCCTATTTCTCAACTCTTGGAGTCTCGGTTTTAAAGGTAGAGGAACCGCACGCCGTCTTTGAGCCTATTCCGTCCTCCTCCTGCTTTGTGCGCAGTCCACCTTTAGACTTATTTTCACATTATCGACGTGAGAATGAAAAAGCAATAAAGTGCGAATGAACTCTCCATCAATACATAAGATACCCATTTACAGCAGGTCCTTGACCGGGGTCCGAAACTAATATGAAGCAAATCCCATTTCGATTTGAGAGAAATGCCTCAGAAACTGAAATACCAGGTGGCAAATTGGAGTTAATCTTATGTGACAATTACCTTTACTGGGGGAGGAAAGTGACGGCCCAGCAACTTGGAACAATTCAAAATTGAACGCGTGCAGAGGATTAGAGCAATGTGCATGTAGATTAACGGCAGCGCAGGCCTCACACGTTGAGGATGTGGTGTTAAACGCTTGTTTTTTGTGCTCTCAGGTGAAATGTTGCAAGTATTGGCCGGATGACACCGAAATCTACAGAGACATCAAGGTGACGCTGATAGAGACGGAGCTGTTGTCAGAGTATGTCATCAGGACCTTCGCTGTGGAGAAGGTGGGCTTTTTAACCTTTCAACCCCCCCCCCCAAACACACATGCACACACACACAGAACAGAACAGGAAATGCTAACTCTGTCTTTTCTGTTTGAGAGTCTTTCACACCACTGAGCACCTCAGCAGGAATAATTATGCATAGTTCTCATGCTGTTATGGGGAAGGACTTAAATTCTCTTTAATACAGCTTTTTTTTAAAGGTTCAGTAAAAGGTTTTAAAGGTTCGTTTTATTATTTTTCATGTAACAGATAATCTTAGTCATGGAAATATAATGAAATGCCAAACGTGGTAAATGTTACCTCAGAACAGCTTGATTATCCTCGTGTTCCCTCGTTTTGCCGTAATTTTTCCAACCTCTCCGACTTTTATGGAACAAATTTTTACTAAACAGTTTTCGGTAATTTAAACCGAGCATAAATTAAATCAATTGGCAAAGTAATATGGAAATAAAATGTAATTGAAGAACTCCAATTAGTTCGCTCTTTAAGCAAGTCGACAATTTTTACCAAAGTTATAAACTAATAAATATTTCAGGAAAAACTATGTATGTTTTGTAACCAAGATTTGTTCATGAGAAATATGTAGTCATCTTGGTTCAATTCATAAGTGCTTTTTGGACTTAATGTTATCTAATGGCATCCAGAAAATGGAGAGTTTTACATTACAAGCCAGTCAAGCACAAAACAGCCAGCAGCAGCTGCTGCCTCTGTTTGTCAGGTACTGTTATCATGCGTTTCTTCTTGGCTGGTTACCGGAACAAGTTGTGTCCTCTAGTTCCAGGAAAGCGCCTCATAAGCAAAGTCTTTAACGGAAAACTTGTTACCAACTCCTCAGTGTGCGAACTCAAGATATTAATTTCCAAATTCATACATACTTAGCACAGTTAACAACATTTGGATTACAGTAAAGTCGGGGCCCGCTCTGATACTTCTTGGCTGATTGTGAATAATTAGAAGGCATCTGTTATTCTTCCACTGCGTCCAACATCAATCACACTCCATTCAAGAGGAAGTGCTTGCTTCTGGAGTAATAGTATATGTAATATTTAACAGAGTATTCCATATTTAAAAGATGTTTAAAAGAATTTCAGTAGATTACAAAGTCCTTTTAAAAAAAAATATTATAGATAATTGTGATTATGTCAGGGATGTGGGTGTTGACGGGAGGACTCAGGTGCGGAGATGAGGGGAACAAGGTTTATTGAACAAAAACAGGGTGAATGTCCAGACAAAGTACAAAACAAAGCTGTGGCAAACTGTGGGCAAAGTATCAAAGCAAGCAAACAAGACTGTGGAAAAACTATGACAAAGTAACAAAATAAAGATTAACAAGACTATGACAAAACGTGACTATGACTGTGGCTGTGGCAGAACTATGACGAAACAAACCTGGCGTGGGGGTGACGACGGACGAAAGGACAAGAGACAAGACAAGAAGACAAGAAGACAAGAACGACCCCGCACCAGACAAGGGGAAACGAGGACTATTTAAACGCATGAGGGAGGGAAACCCCAGGTGTACACAATAGGTAATCAAGACGAGACATTCCCCCAGACGTGACAGATTATGAGTTTCAAGCTTTATTAAGAGTAAAGCTGTATTGGAAGTTTTGGAATAATTGTTAAACATAAAGGCTTACCAGAAAGAAGAATTAATAGGTATATTTTCCTCTAATATTACCAGTTTTCCTAAACTACTGGCATATTTTGACTAAGAAAGTTCAACAGAGGCAAAACTGTTTTTTTTTCTACCTTTCGAAGTAAATATGAATGAGTAATCAGAGAAGTCTGCTCCATTTTCCCAGTACCACAGCATCCCCCAACGCTGTTGCTGTGGAGGGAGAGGCATCCCGGTGGGCCTCCTCTGTGGCCATTAACGCGCCCTTCATGTTGGTTAATTAATGTTGAAGAACAAACAGTCATTCTGGGTTAAGTCACCCACACACATCGGCAGAGTGTGCCGGGATTCTTTTGCAGCTCAGATCTTGGGGCATCCAGTGGATGAAACTTGAATTCCAACTGGCTAAAATTGCAGATGTTATTTATGAACATCCACAGAGCTCAGATAATAGACTGGGAGATGTGCCATAGTCGTTCATCCCTCAAAGGACAAAGGCACGACATAGAAATAGACTAAAGAAATACAGCAAATGTTCACCTTGCACATCCTGTTTGCGGCTGGCAAATGGAAACCTCGCTCAACCCTCCTTCCACCGTGAAGTGTGTGTTTGCTTTCAATTCAGCTTCGCAGTGACCTCTCACACCGTCCGTCCACGTCTCGGTGCATCCTCTCCTTTTCCTCTCTGCGTTCTGTGTGTTTAACATGATGACTCTGTTCCTCAGAGAGGGGCTCACGAGATCCGGGAGATTCGACAGTTTCACTTCACGGGCTGGCCGGACCACGGCGTGCCCTATCACGCCACGGGCCTGCTGGGTTTCATCAGGAGGGTCAAGTCCAAGACCCTGACCAATGCGGGGCCCATGGTGGTCCACTGCAGGTTGGTGTGCATGAGAACTAAGCAGGCTTTTTCCATGTCTAAGAGAAAGGCATCTTAAATCTAAGTGTGTTTAGCATGAAACAGCTATTTGTCACAATTATGGGACATACAGAAGAGCTGGATCATAGTTAAGAGCCACTGAAGCTATTCTGTAATGTCCACAGCACCAGCAGGCATCAGCCATTTTAAAACCGTTGGCACAACAGACTGACAAAGATTAAAACTGTTTGCTGATAACAAGTCGGATGTTTTTTGGGTTTTTTTTAATTAAATGACAGAATTAAAACAGTTTTCTACCTCACCTCAGTTCCTCTTTAATGAGTCCTGCCTCAAAGAACGAGGGCTATGTTTCTGGACCCAGTCCATAGGCTACGGGTGTGTTTTGTTTTTGGGTTTTTTTTTTTCTTGCATATCCAAGATTTTTCTTAGTATTTTTGACTGCAACTAAAGATATTCACCAACCCTGCCCATGCTGTTATTTACATGATAGACTCGTACTTGTTTTTTTTATTCAGGCTGAGGGCCTGAAGATCACGGCCATTCAGTATTGGTTTTCAGCCAAGTTTCTCTGGAGGTTTCATTGATATTCTGTAGTATAAATACCCACAAACTCTTTGCATGTGTAATCTGAAAAAAATTATTTTTTTGTAACAGATGAAGAATATATTAGCAGTCTTTCACCCTTCGTGTTTTTTCTCTCCGATATCTGACCCGTGACCAGTTAGCATTATCATTTTTTATCATATATTATATCACAAAATGAGTATTGAAATGAAAGTGTTTCAAACAGATCGATAGCGCGTCTCAGACTTGAAAGGTTACTTTTTCATTGGTGATCACAGTATTGCATCAAATATCAGAAGTTTGCTTACGATGTCAGATTTCCACGTCTGGGTCTGATTAAACTGGACTGTGTGATTGCAGCGCCGGGGCCGGTCGAACCGGCTGCTTCATCGTCATCGACATCATGCTGGACATGGCGGAGAGGGAGGGCGTGGTGGACATTTACAACTGCGTGAGGGAGCTCCGCTCACGGAGGGTCAACATGGTCCAAACTGAGGTACGGTTATCCTGCTCACAAAGAGTTGCCAGTAGCATGGAGAAGGGAGGGAGGGGAGGGGAGGGGGGAGGGGCTGACAGATTGTCACCATCAATTGTGGATTAAATGGTATCTGCAGTTAATTCTTCATATCTTATTAAGCCCCACTTCTCTGCGTCTCCAAAGCAAATAGTCAGAGCTGAAAGCGGGGACAGCACATCTCGCTAAAAGCGTGTTATTTGAGGACAAATATCATTGCTTGTCATTTATTGGTCATTAATTCTGCAGCTAAAGTGATCCAGGAGTGCTTTTCGAACCAATTTGCCTGCGATTTCTGATGGCAGTTATCTTCTCAAATGCGACATCATTGTTTTAATGCTGTCGTTGTCTTTTAAGTATCGGTTGTATGGTCCCAAATTTTTCACACAACAATGCAATTGGAAATCTGACTTCACAGTCCAAATATCAACTAAACTCCGTCAGATGGCTGTAAAGCAGGCGCTGGATTTTTTGGGGTTTAAAGCAGACACATTTAAAATGGAGAGAGCAAGCGTATGTTTTGGTTCTTAACACCAAGTCAACGCTAATATCCCCTTTACATTCAAAATTATCATTGTTAGCATACCACCTTCATTAAAGTGCACACCCAGTACAAGTTGTAATAAATAGGTTTAGGGGCTCATAAAATGGGATTTAGCTCATATTGTCGACTGAAAACATTCCTGACTTATCCCTCAGCTTTATTCCAATCTCAACAACCAAAGGACTTTCCTGAATGCCGGCCATCTGGAGGTGTCCATAGCGCCGTTGAATGCATCATTTCCCCGTAATTCCCTTTAAATCACAAGCATCATTGGACTTAATGTGCAAATGTTTCATAGCTGACGTTGGGACTGGGATTTGAGCGACTGGAGACCGAGCGTTGACTCACTCTCCTAAAGTTCATTGACCTTCAGAGTGTGTGTGTACGCTTGTTTTTCCCCCCTCACAGGTGTTCGGGCTGTTTGGCACCGCTCCTCAGCCTGTGGCCAGACCCCAGCTCTCAAAACCCGTTTAATTTAGCCATTGAAACGAAATGCCTTGTTCGTATCGCGCGAGCCCAGAGAAAAAAAATCCATCATCCCGCAGCTTGACGGACAGCTGACACACTGACCCGGCGCAGGGCGGTCAGACTCTCAGGGTCAACAGTTCACCTTCAGCACGAGACGAATAACAAATGGCAACACGTGTTCCTTTTCAATCGGTGCGTCGGTGACCCCCCCGTGGACGTGTGCCGATTTTGGTGCAAAGTGACAAGAAAGTGTCAGCTGAAAATGTCACTTCAGAATAGATTTGCATCAAGCTTCAAGCCGTGTCACCATCTCCACCGCTTGACTGAGCGACTGGAGGAGGAGGAAATGCGCCGTGATTTCCTGCCTCAGCCCGCGCGGCATTGAGTTACAGTGAGAGTTGTTTCCGGGCTTGAGACATCAGCCTAGCTCACGCGTTGATTGTGGCTTTAACTTGTGACGAAACCAATTGGGAAAGGTCACGTAATTTCATGAAAATACTCTTGGCTCGGCATCAAAATATTTTTTAAAATGTCAGTGTTCAGAATTCGAGAAGGGAATCGGATCAGACCCATTGCGGAAAAAATGCTAAAATATGTAATGTAACCTTTGAACATAGACAATGACAAATATTAGTCATATGAAAGAAAAACCCAAAGGGGGAGAGAAAACACATGGTAAAGTCAAGGAAAGGTCACCGAATTCTGCGAGCAAAAAAACGGGGGGGGGCTCGTGCATTTCTGCTCCCTGTGAAAACAAAAGCTTCACGTTTGTGTTTTTTAGCCGATCTCCTGAGAGGTCTAAGATGTCTGACAGATCCGCAATGAGGATGCCGTTTCTTTCAGGAGCAGTATGTCTTCATCCACGACGCCATCTTGGAAGCGTGCCTCTGCGGGGACACCACCATCCCCGCCGGCCAGCTCCGCTCCGTCTACTACGACATGAACCGCCTGGACCCGCAGACCAACTCCAGCCCCATCAAGGAGGAGTTCAGGGTGAGTTGTTAAACTACACATGCGCGCAGTCGGCGTGCGTGTCTAACAGAGCGTCAGAGAAGTTTCAAACGCTAAACCCGCTGCGTCTTGATGAATGGCGCCCCCCCCCCCCCCCTGTGGACCAATCAGTTGTGAATATATTCCCTTGCATTTATCTGCACGAGCAGGAACTCTCCTTGGATCAATCAGTGTTGCGTGAGATTCATCACTCCCCAAAGTTTCGTCCCAGTCACATCGGGGAAGTCAGACTGATCGCTAATGGAACTGATTAAAGAATTGCATTGTTAATTACCATAGTGGGTAGATAATTAGCGCCCTCGCGGCCCCCGCCGCCCGCCTCCCGGTGTCTGAGTGACAGCGCGGCGTGTGTGTGTTCGCCCCATGACAGACGCTGAACATGGTGACTCCCACGCTGCGGGTGGAGGACTGCAGCATCGCCCTGCTGCCCCGGAACCACGAGAAGAACCGCTGCATGGACGTCCTGCCCCCGGACCGCTGCCTCCCCTTCCTGATCACCATCGACGGAGAGAGCTCCAATTACATCAACGCCGCGCTCATGGACGTAAGTTACAGATGTTACAGCCGCGGCCTGGAACGCCACCTCGGAGCGGCAGAAATCCTTCCTAATTGCGGCGCCGTAAATGTTAAGGGGGCGAGGCAGGAAGTTCCATCTGCCTCTGCGTGGGAACTGAAACGCCAATCGCTGGCGGAAAAGCAGGTGTTTTGTATTTGCCGGATGATAGCAAGGCCTGGTCTGTTTGGGCCTGGTGACGCTGGCATTTCAGCCTGACTTGCTCTAGAATAGAGCTAATAAATAAATACATGAATAAATGATAAATATATAATAAATACAGCTAACTTTCGTCCTTTGCTACAACTCAATGACATTGAGCCAAAAAGGCTCGGAAAAGTCGGATGTTAACATTTATATATGATATGAGAATATTTTGGTACTATCAGTGTCTCAATGCTTATCCAATTTTTAAAAGTTTTCTTGGATTCATAATTAATGGAAAAGTACATTTCTTGGTGGAATATCAAAGAAACCAAAAGTTTGTATGACACGGGTCAGGGAACGGAAGTTTTTCTTTAAATGTAACCACCAAAGATTTTCTATCCTTTCTAAACTGTTTGCTATGTTTCTCTTCCTGGCCTTCCTTTTCTTCTTTTCTTCCTGCAGAGTTACAAGCAGCCCTCCGCGTTCATTGTGACCCAGCACCCGTTACCAAACACAGTGAAGGACTTCTGGAGATTGGTGCTGGACTACCACTGCACGTCCATAGTGATGCTCAACGATGTGGACCCGGCCCAGGTAAGCCAGACCCGAATCCTGATCCCACACAGGGATCCTCAAGAGATGCTGTGAGAAGTTAGCTCAGCGAGCAGATGGCACGAGAAGCAGTTTTGCTTCATAGCAAATGTGTGTGAATCCTGAGGGGGGGGAAAGGCAGGCCTGGATGTTTTGTGGATATTTGAAATGAAGAGGAATGCTGCAGAGAGGATGTCATGAAAGTGGAGACAGGCCTATGGAAGAGGTTCTGCGGATTTCTGAGCCTGAGGCTCTGTCATAACACCCCGGGATCAAAGCCCGAAGCCGGGCTGCTCCACCCCCCCCCCCCCCCCCTCCACACCAAAATCCCCCCTCTCCAGGTGACTGACTGACTGGCTGGATAGATAGAAAAGGCCTTTCATTCCATATTCTCCGTGTAGCCGCCCCGTCAGTGGCTAAGAAAAGAGCCCGGGCGGGGCTGGGGGGGGAGGGTGCGGAGGAGTGCAGGAAGTTAGGGATTTACTATCTACTCTGTAAACATCTTTGTTTTTGTGCCTGTTGAATTTGCCAAGTTTCGACGGGCTCTCCAAAGCGAAGCCAAAGCGTCATGGCTTTTGTGCGTTAGCGGAAGAAGTCATTGTGCACCGGCACGTCCTCTCGAATTTAGCTTTTCAGGCATGATCTTTCCATTCTTCTGGCGGAAGTGCTTTATGTTTTTTCTCTTGTTTGCTCATGGCCGCTACTGTGCAGAAGGGAACGCGTCCATCTGTGTGTACACTTCACATTGTCTGACTTGGAGCTGTGAGGCCGGCCGGGAGCTCCACAGGTGCACGCTCTTAACCGGGCTTATTCACCTGGGGAGCAGAAATAGGGTAGATTTAGCTGCTCTTTTGAAGTTGTTCCCAGGGGGATTTTGTCTTTGTAGTCTTTCATCTCAGTTGTCGGAGCAGCCAGTAACATTTTCAGTCCCAGCTTCTTGACGCTTTGAATTATAGTCAAGCAAATCATGAATCATTTTGATTAACTACTGTTAATATCTACAGGTATTATAAGGCTGTGCGGAATATTAAAAAATATATATATTTGCAAAAAACAAAAAACAAACTAAATCAAATGCTCAGAATTAGAGATTTTCTTATTTTCTTTCAAATATTAGCAAATCTCTTATCATAGCAATACAGACTCATAAAACTTGGCGAGAACAGGCTGTATAAGTATGAATTAACAACCACTATTTTTTTTTAACAAGATGGATGTTTAAGCTTTAGTCCTTCTTTACTTGGATGACAAACAAAACACTATACAAGAACCTAAAATAAGCCATGTGGCCTTTTTTCGTCATTACTGTATTTTTTTTATGAACAGCTCCAATCAAAAAGGCTTTGGCTGGTAAATCTTATCAGTTTACCTGCAGCCACCAAGTAAGGTGAAACTGTTTAAACTAACAACCAAAGCACCCTAAACATGCACTGTTTGCACAGAGTATGTGTTTTTCATGGGTTGTAGTGAATTAGGGTCGCCTGAAGTGCTTATTTGAGAGTATCTGATTGGACAACTCCAAAGAATGCAAGTTTTATAACTTTTCTCTCAATGCAAAAAGAAACAAAAATTACAAAATACGGCTTTTACTAAACACAAGACACAGTGTCACAAAGTTTTCTGTATATATATATATATATATATATATATATATATTTCTGATATTTCTGTTTTATTTGGTGGAACAAAAGGTCATTTGATCTCAGGATGCATTTGGTCTATTAAAAAACATATTTCTGCTTGTAACTGAATGTTCTCAAAATTAAAAAGGCTCCTCACATTTTTAAATGAAGCTACTTTCACAATGTGTCTTCATCCCTTTGGGCACACGCATTGAGTCATAATCAGTGTCTTTGATTTGGTGTACAGTTGGGATCCGAAACTTTAAAAAAAAAAATCATCTTTTCATGTTTTTCATGGTTTCCCTGTGTTTTGTGCGTGTGTGTGTGTGTGTGTTGTGTTCAGTTGTGTCCACAGTACTGGCCCGAAAACGGAGTCCACCGCCACGGCCCCATCCAGGTGGAGTTCGTCTCTGCCGATTTGGAGGAAGACATCATCAGCAGAATATTTCGGATCTACAATGCAGCTCGGGTACAGTATGCTTTAGAGGGAGAGGGTGGGGCGGTGTGTGTGTGTGTGTGGGGGGGGGGGTCTGTGATCAGGCTGACCTTTAGTCTTTCTGCTCTTTTGAGCATTTTTCGTCTACTGTACCTCCGCAATCTCTCTGTCTTCCCTGCCGTTTCACAACAGCCAATTTCTCCTGTGACAGCACACCTCACACATCCCACCGGCGTGCGGGCCTGTCCGCTCACGCTGTGCAGAGGCAGAGTCGCTCTGTTCTGTTACGAGGCGTCTGCACCGCTGATTGGGCCGAGGTGTGATTGCCGCAAACTTTTTGAGGCCACTTGAGAAATTGTCCCCTTGCAGTGAAAACTGGAGAAATCAAGCGTTCCCTGTCGATTGATCTGAATCTGCAAGGGATTGTTTCACCAAATCTGTCCAACAAAAAAAAAAAAAACATCAAGAGAAAAAAGAAATCACACAAATTTTGACCTGGTCGATGCACAGATTGATGGTTTACCCTCATTTTTAGCTTCTAAAATCAGCTTTTACTCACAGCCCTCAGTGTAGGTGAAACTTTTCTTTATATTTTATTGTTCATTTATCAGATTGCACCATTTTTTATTTATTTTAATTTAAAAAATACTACCATGATAACAATATCAGCCTGTGGCCACCTTCTTGAGACACATTTGATTGATTGGGTTTCATTCTTTTCGAAGATATTAAGAACATTTAAAGAAAGTCTTGACAAAACTTTGGAAAACAAGGCCAGAAAGAGAAGCGTCATCTCTCCCATGACGCCAGCAGCTGTGTTCCTGTTATTTGGATGTGACATTTTAACTTTGAGCTAAGATGCCTGGCAGCGCGGAAGGGGGACCCGACCCATGCTGGCATCACCTGCCGTCACCTGCATAAGCTCTTTATCCCCCCGGTCTGCCGACGCGTGTCGGGAGCGGCTCCGTGTATTAACGGGGCTGCTTCCCCCCCCCTCCGGTCGGCAGAGGCAGCAATGCAATCTAATCACACATGATCACTGACAACAGCTATTGATCCACCAGTCTGAATGTCTGTATCGCTGTCTGTCTCCAGCAGCCGCTGTGCTCGTCCATCATCCTGTCATATCTCCACATCCATCTCCTCAGTGGCTCCTTTACGCATTTCTGGCCCAGCCTCAAACGGGCTCATATGAACTTTGCTTTTAAACGTCTAATTGCGTCTATGTACGGCGGCGATGGGTGGGTCTGTTAACTTGGGGTGTCCGGTTTTGTCTCGGCCCTACAGCCTCAGGACGGCTACCGGATGGTTCAGCAGTTCCAGTTCCTGGGCTGGCCCATGTACAGAGACACGCCCATGTCCAAACGCTCCTTCCTCAAGCTCATTCGTCAGGTGGACAAGTGGCAGGAGGAGTACGACGGAGGCGAGGGACGCACTGTGGTCCACTGTCTGTGAGTTTTCCCCTGCCATCGCTCTGCCATTTAAAAAAAAAAAAAAAAAGAAACATCTCCACCTACTGAGTGCAAACGCTTATTGCAGCCAAACGCTCCAAACTCCCCCCCAACCCCCCTTCTGGCTCTGGTGCGATTGAAGAAGTATTCCTGGAACTTTTTGGTCCTCAAACACTGTGTCGATGCGTGTCCACTGCAGGAATGGAGGAGGCCGGAGCGGGACTTTCTGTGCCATCAGCATTGTGTGCGAGATGCTCCAGCACCAGCGCTCTGTGGATGTTTTCCACGCAGTCAAAACACTGAGGAACAACAAACCCAACATGGTGGACCTGCTGGTGAGGAGCACAGCTATTTTGTCAAACTGAATTTTTTTTTAAACGCATGTTTTATCATTTATTATCAGTAGACTGATTTTGTTCGAGCGCTATTTAGCTGGCCCATCATTTTCAAGCAGCAGAGATGGAATTAGGTAGTCAAAATGTGTGTCTTTTCACAGCTTAAGAGGGGTGAAGAGAAGGGGGGGGGGGGGGAGCCTGTTTCTATCTGCTCCTGAAACCAATGAAAACTCATAGTTTTAGTTTCAGAGACATATCGTGTATTTTCAATGCATAGCAAAAAAGTCTTATACTTTAAATTTACCTGTAAGAGGCCAGAGCTCCTCGCCGTAATTGAAAAAACATAAATCAGAATTACTTTTAAATTCACGACTGCATAAATGATTTGCTATTTACAGCAGGTTCATTAAATGTTCTTCAAGTCAATCTTTACAAAAGGAAAATGTTGTTTTCAAACGAGTTTGTGTAGAAAAATCCCTCCAGGACCTGAAAGTGAAAAATGTGATCGTTCTCACTCAATTTGGACACGGAGCGGCACAATGCCGCCAGGTTCTTTTCAAGGTAACAGAGAAAGAATAAAGAAATGACTGAGTTTTAAAAAAAAAAACTGAATTTGTGCGATTGGAAGAACAAACCCTGTGTTTTAGGTCTGGTTGCGTTTTGTGAGGAGCATAATTAAAAGCATGAAGTCACTGTTATGAGTGTTCATCTTCAGCTTTGATGCTTCTCGAGATTGCGTGGAGCAGAACAGAAATCATGAGAAAACATCTGCATGCGAGATTGCGGTCTGTAAAATGTATGTCTGCGGGTTCTCCTGCTTGGAAAAGGAGGCAGATGGAGTAAACAAAGGCTTCCACTTGCTCCTAATTATCAATCAGTGTTGAATCTGATCCAGAAGTGAGCTCTCCTGGAGGGCTGCCAGCATCGTTTGTAATGTTTAGTCTGAGAGATTAGATATTATACAAGCAAAAACACTTTTTCAACCTCAGATTCAAAGAGGGTCTAACTATATTGCTGTTTCCATCTTTTCTTGTGACTCGTACATCATTTGCATTGATTTCATATGCCTACAGTACATTTGATTTTGCCTAACGAAAACCTTAATGTTACAGGACAATAAAATGTTTTAAGTGCTAGAGATTGTGTCAGAGGGATCCTCTGTAAAAATGCAGCTTGAGGATCACATTTATTTCACTTCCAATGCTTAAAAACACACTTCTAATGGAATTTTACAGCTTACAATACTTTTTTTTTTTACATTGATGAGGTCTCAAGCTTAATCAAATGTTTGTGCATTTCCTTTTGCCTCCCAGGACCAGTACAAGTTCTGCTATGAGGTGGCCCTGGAGTACTTGAACTCTGGATAATGACTTGGAGCTGCTGCGTCCAGCAGAAATGAAGAGTTTGGGACAAGACAGACGTCTGCAGCTGACATGTGCATTATGCTAAAAGAGTGTGTGTTGCCAAGCCGAAGGATGAACTACACACTCCACACACACGTGCAGGTCCTTCGACCAGCTCTCCTTCTTCTTCTTCTTCTTCATGGTTTTGAAGGGGAAAGCTGGCAGACTTGTACAGTGTTAATATCACAGCCTGTTTCTGTCAGCTCCGGCTAAGGAGGTCAGCTGGTGCACAATGAATTTGTGTTGTCCTCTGCAATGGGTCGCCTTCTCTCTGGATCCCTTTTTCTCTGTTTTCTTTCTCTCAGCTGCCTGTAGTCCCGTGGTTGTTGCCTTGATCTTCATTGGACTACAAAGCATTAAATGCTCCGGATTTCTGTGGAATGCGATATGCTGTACATACTGTAATGTGTCTATTTTATCCTCTGATTTCTGTTTCATTCAGCTCACTGTTGAGTCTTCAAACGCTCTGAGCCTAAGTGTTACTAAATGTCCAGTGAAATTCTGACTTTTCAAAGACTTTTGCTTCATGTTGGGGACAGCTGGCTCAGTCTACATCTGCTTCCTTTTTTTTCCTGTACAGGGATCCAAAGCTTTATTTGCACTTCCATTGAATTCTTGCTGTGCATATTGTACATAATTCTGTAGATTATTTATTCACAGTATGTACTTTTTTTGTGACTCGCAGTAAGTGACAATCATTTGTTCTATAGGTTTGGTTTGCTGATTGTATTGTGTGCTTTTTTTGTCATCTTGTATGACAGAGAAAATCCATTATAAAGAAAAAAAGATATATAAATGTATCTACAAATTCAAACTTTGGGTTACATTTCTGTGCCTCATGTCTGACTGGCGGTGGAGAAAATAAAGTGAGGGTGACATCTGCTGGAGAGGAGGATTACTTCTGCAAGTGCCACAGTGTCGATGGTTTCCACTCATTTCTTTTAACGTTGGAATGATAATGAAATGGTTTATTTAAGTTTATGGCATGTTTGTCTGATTTTAAATCTTAATCGGGCAAATCTCTCCAGATGCTGAATGAAGTGAAATTGCTAGAATAGGTACTGGAAGCTAAAATCCTGTCTTCATAGGCATGCCTTCATGTTTAACGTGTTCATTATGTGTTCATCTTAAAGCAAAAGAGTCATAAAGTGAAGGAAGAAACAAAGGATGATCTGCTAAGATAATATTGCTACCTTCCAATTATTTCCTTCATCCTCAAAATCATGGATTTGATCAGTTATTAAAAAGAAAACAGCAGCTTCTTTGTTATATCTGCTCCTTAATGGATTCCTGAAGGTGTTGATTCAAATTGAGTTTTTCTTACAATATGCACCGTTGAAATAGATTGCATCATGTAAGAAGTCCTTAAAAATATCTACATTAGTTAAACAGTATCTGGAGTGGCCGTCCTTGAGATTTTTGGGGTAAAACCAATTGACCTGACACAGGATCTAAAAAGTGCATGTGGACCTTCAGCTGATCCATCTACTGTCTGCCCAAGCCTCGTCAGAAATGCTGTGTTGTCAAGAAGGCTTTCTTAAGGAGGGGAAACAGGCAGACGAGGCTGTGCAGTGCCAAATGATGCAAGAAGTGGACTGGAAAATCAGTGGCAACAGGTCTGATGAAGGGTCGAATCTTCCCCAGAGCCCGGACCTCGAAATTATGAAAGCAGTGCGGGATCATCTGGGAGAAAATAGAGAAACAGGCAGCCGTCTGCATGGTGTTGTAAATGTGCTTCAATTTGCTTTACGAGATCATCTCCATCTGCTGTTCCAGCAAGGGTGATGCCATATGAAATAGTATAATAAACTTCTTTAACAATATACAGAATGGGAACACAATGGCAGAAAAACAATCAAATATGCGGGCAGAAATTACCCCCACTTTTCTAACAGACATGAGCATGTCTGAACAGCCGTCTCCATCACAAAATGAAGAGTGAGCATGAAGCATTTTTTCATATATATGGATCATTTCTCGGCTTCATCTTGTCTCTAAGCACCTAATTCTGTTTTGCTTGTATGTAAGGAAGAATAAAATAAGATGGAAATGTTGCTCCTGGGACAGCTGTATAGACAGTATGAATTAAGCACTATTAAGGCTCAGCATTCATGGATGAGCAAAACAATGTTAAAGTCAGGCGAAGAAGGTTTGTAATGTTGGATATGAATAGTTACATTTAATTAAGGTTTCCTCTGCACAGCAAAACCCAAACACTCTTAACAAAAGCATAGTTATTATGTAAAATTACTGTGGAACAGAGAGACTGATATATTATTTTACTTAGAATAACAACAAATAAATAAAAAAACACTTTGCACCACAAATTATCCACTTGGCTTTTTTTTCAGTTAAATTTAGGTTATTTGCTGCTTTAAAACCTTTTTCCAACCTCTACAGCATGCAGAGTCTTTCTTCTATCCTTTTAGGTTTTAGGTAGACAGTTTTCTACAACATTTAAGCCTAAACAAGCTGTTAAAATTCCCTCTTCTCCTTTCCAAATTGAATTCTGAAAGGATACATTTACATGCTCCACAAACAGCAGCACGAGAAGCCTGATGATTCTTTCCTTGGGATCCTTCTCCAACTTGTTTTAGTAGAAAATACTTTGAAGATGGATCAGAGACATCAGCTCCAGAATCTGGTTGGACCCATCCTAGACTTCTACAGTCTTTATTTTATGGCTTTATTTTTATTTATTTAGCAACCTTCAGTGATCTTTAGATCTATGCCATAAAGTAATCCATCAGTTCTGTCTAAAGACAATTGTTTTATGACTTATTTTCACTCCTACAACCAACTCCTTTCGACCCTGGAAACCCACAAATAGAGGGCTCTGTACCATAATAGTCGCTGTATAGCCATTTAATCCCGTAGACAAGTGTTATAGTAACCACTGACTTACTGCAGCAGGTTTAACCAGAGTTAGGTAGCTTTCCAAAAACCCTTGTTATTAGATTATGATATTGCTTCCATTTGTGTGTTAATAATAAATACAGATGAGTTACGAAACACTTCTCAGGGTTAATATAATGTGTACAGGGCAATTACATTAACTGTGGGATAATAAAAAAAACAAGTTATTTAAAATAATAGGCAATCACAGCAGTTGGAAAGCCCAAAACAAAAGAGGATGAGAGGCACGCCACTTCGCATTTAGTCAGAGATCCAATTTTGTTCACATCAGGATGTGCATTTCTTGAGAAAAAAAAAAAAGGACCATGTGAATCGGTGATGATGAGTGACTTAAAGAGGATTTGATGAGGTGCGGTTTGAACTCTAAATATAGCTAGTGGAGTCTCACGTCACTGTGGGCAGAAATGCAACAACACATCTTATGTAAGTCTTTTCTGACGGACACATCTGAATAATTGCTTCCAGCCTCCAGGCTTTTTCAGGCTTTTGAAATCACGAGTCACCTGCGTTGACTGATTCACTGATATGAATCAAAGCAGTGAGAGCTGTTTTTGGGGGGTATTTTTTGAGCATTTTTTCTAGTAAGTAATTGCATATAATATGCATGTAAATTAGCCCAATGTGGAATCTTTTTCCTGTTGAGTGAAGCCTATTTTTTCCAGCAGTGATGTCACACTGTACTTTCAACCACAAGAGGTCAGTCAAGGATTCTTCTCAGTTTGATTGCACCACCAAACTGACTCAGCTTCCCTGCATTAGGTCTGTTGGGCGTACAATGTGCAACCATTGTGCATCTCTTGGTCATTCTGCTGCTATGGGTCGCTGTTGCACTGGGATGGTCAACAAGCAGCTACTTGATTAATAAACACACAGAATTAGTCCATTTAATCCATCAAATGTTCATTTAAAATGACAAAAGCAACAAAAAATTCATCCTAAAACATGTCACAGTTGACAATTATACGCACCACATGTACTTGTTGGTCTCCACAGGCCGCGGTGGCACTTTGAAGACTAGCAGGAAGGAATCTTTGGCTTCAGCTCTCATCTTGTCCCTGCTCAGAATGCTCCAGTTGGTCACAGCTACAGGCGGGCCGGGGCCGGTTTTCATATTTCAATGCTGCTAAATTATTTCGGCGTGCGCTTGTGGAGTCGTAGTGAGACGGAGGACTCCTGGAGCTGCTCCCACTGCCGAGCGGCCAGAGGAGTCCACAGCAGATGTTCCCTCAGCTCACGTCCGCAGGCACATCATATGGACGGGAGACAGCATATGGAGCAAAGTTTTCTGTAATAAAACATTGGTTTGTGTCATTTATGACTTGAAACATGACGGGCCTTAAAGTCCACACATCATTCACCAGAATCTTGGTCCGAAACACTACTCAGATGCTTTTTGGCTTGGGTTATTACCTATGGGTTTAGATTCTCAGGTAATAATAAGAAGGTAACAGGAGGTATTTTAGTTTGTTTCTTAAGAGGATTCAACTCCCTTAGAAATGCTTATTCAGCTCTAACTGGAGTGTTGGTTGAACTCAATAACAACTTTGTAATAAGCATAATTAAGTTTGTAGAAAATGGCGCAAACAAAAGCAACCTGCCCTTTTTGGCTCTGCTGTCCAAATGGGAACCTCAACACCATGAATATCAGAAATGTAAACAGAGTGATACCTGGCCTTTAACCACAACCTGGGCAAATGTAAACACATAAAGGAGGACCACAAAACAATCCAAAATGATCACCTAACATCCTTGAAATGAGCCACGGCAGGGATGACCACAAGTAAAAGGTATAAGTACACCTTTTAGAAAGATACACAGCATGTCACACAGGGAGATGGAAAACAGCTATTAAGGAACTGGCCGTTAGGAGAGTCCAAACGCAGAGCAAACCTGCTGGTTTGAACACCGGTTCTGACGTTTATGGTCCAGAAGATGGCAGTGGAGGGCCAGCAGCGCTGAGCCCCACACTGCGCTGAGGACAACTGAAGCTGAGACAGCAAAGTTGGATCTCTAAAATCACCACTCACCAAAATCAGCATTTAAGTACG